CCCTCAACTACATTTTCACCAAAAGTCCAAGGCCGTCGATAGACCACCTTATTACAAAGCTCCTAATTGTAACGAAGATTTCCGATTGCAATAAAAACGCAAGATAGCATTCGAGTTGCCTGTTCACGATGAAATACGCCTCGGAGACGACTTGTACTTGATTTTCATTAGAGAAGAGAGGACAGTTGCTTAACGATTGGTCCCAGTTACAGGGACTCACTGCAGGTGATAGCGGAAAGGCTCGTAGAAAAGAGGAAACGACCTATGAAATGACAAGATGACGAAGTTTCGCTAATAATCGATCGATCGGATCAGCTGATGGCAGAAAGTCATAACATGCCCTCCTACCAGACAATCACACCCAAAACGAGATGTTTGACTGATCACGAATGAACTCCAGTATCATTCATGAATAATCTTATCACCTATCCACGTTCATTTCGGCAGACTATAAATACGATTTAACGAGTAAGGTCCCTTCATTTACTCGTCTCTACCTACTCGTATCCAGTTGATTGGCGTCCGAAGTCGTTACCTGTTCTGCCATAACTCGATCAGCATTCGTTTGACTTTCGACTCGTGGAGGGACCAAAGGTAATGGAAACGGGTGGGTTCCTATACCACGGCTGACCTAATCATTTCAAGCTTTTCAGAGGAATGTCCTACTTCCTACTCGTTTCACAGTGAGCAGCAGTCCAAGGAGGGAAGCTCGGCAATCTATTCGGAAAGTGCTGTAAGCAAGTCTCTCATGATAGCTGAGAACCAGCAATTTCCCTTATTGTAGCCATAGTTGCAGGTCAGTTACTCGATCCCTCGATAGATGACAAATGGATGTCGCTAAATACAATACACCGTCTCGAACTCGACGTTAAAGGAGGCAGAAGGACAATTTTTATTTGTTGATTTAATAAAGGTTAATGAGTAATTCGATCTTGACACTGTTGAACTCCAATTCTACTCCTCCATCTGCAAGGACTGAACAGTGGAAAATTGTTCAAATCTCGGTTACTTTATAGGGAGCGCTGGACGGGACTTGCTGGCAGCTTACTGACATAGATTGCTGCTCCTGTGGGAATATCAGTGAGTATGAAACAGTGGAACTGTTGGTAGCCTTGTTAGCTAGAGTTCGGTGTAGCGTCAATGGTGCTCTGTCGCAGACCTAAAGTAGACCCACAAAACTGACCTCTGGGAAAGCCCCAATCCTCAGTAATTTTTTCCCTTGTGGGAGGCGGTATGGACTGGTACCGTGGATCGAGTCCCGGGCTGATATCTGCTCAGGCAACAAAGCCAACCCTTTCGGGTCGGTTAACTGGTAGCAGACCTGTCTAGGAATATAAATGCGCTGCTTTGAAGATGGGCTGACTTCCCGAATAGGCCACGCACGGATTAGGAACTCCACTACTATTCTGCATTAAATTTAATTGAAGGGCGCAACCCAGAAAGGGTTCGATCAACGCCAATAGTTCTAATGGTAAGACTTGAGAATCCATAACTAGTATAGGCTCCCATCCCGTTTCCAGGGTCTCAACGGTTGTCAGTTCACACGACCGCTCCAACACAAGTAACATAAGAGTGAGCGTTTTTATCAGGCACGATTAACATAGGACTAGAAAAAGCCAATATTAAAGAAAAAGAGAATGAAGGAAAGGAAAATTTGCTCTGATGAAATACAGATATCGAAATATGGAAACAACATTGTTCAAAATCGAAAAGGTCCCGTCACGAAAACACACAACCACCAAAATCGCATTGGTTGAAGCGAGAAGACAAACAGAAACGATTTTTTGAACCCAACGGTACATATTGGCCCAAATTAGAACGATCAGTAACCGTCCGCAATTACATACAATTTACTGCCTTCCTAGGAATTGGGATGGTTATCGATCGATCTCCAATGGGAGACCGGATATTCACAACACGTCTACCTGGTTAGGAAAGAGATCAGTTGTATATAAGTGCTGTCATAAGCATCAGTTCAGGAAAGGAAGGAAAGCAATGCCAATATATAGTTACACATACATAAATACAGGTCATGTCATTATCGAAACAGACAGCATGGGACGACAGACGCGCCGCAACGGCACGCGTCCCATCCCTGCTGTTTCGAGCAATAATTTTTTAAATGTTTGACATGTACTGTATACTATCTGTTATCACCGAGGTCATTAATATAGAAGATAATCAATGAAAAGAGATTGGAAAGCACAATACTCACCTAGAAATGCGTATTTTTAAAAGGACAATTCAGCGATGAACACAACATTGATTTGACATCGATGACTTATGAGACATCATTAGAAACTATGTAATCTGAAGATAGGCAACAATAACTTATCAGCGGAAAACAGAGATATGTCATGAAAGAAGAATCAGCACCAGCAAATTTGTCAAAAGCAATGCTATCGTTGGAATGTTCATCGTCGACCCTCTTGAGTAATGAAGGAAACCGGCCAAAAATGATGACTCGCACCGTTCTGAAAAAAACGCGTTGTCAACAAAATGTATTACTTGCAGTAGGGAAAGATGGTCCAGCGGTATTTGGGTCTCTATCACCAGGGATCATTACGCCGGGGATCATACCCCATATCCGTACCCGCTCAGGGCCACAAAGTGTCCTACCCATCCGGGGATGCTTATCTGGTGCCAGACTCGTCTATGAGGGTAAAAGCTCTGACTTGTGAATCGGCCGGCTGCCCCAAGCCTTTCTACTGACCACCACTAAAGGCTCTGAAAAGTGTCGCGAGTGATCGAGCGTCTTTCCTGGATGTGCTGTCACCCTAAGCTTACCATGATTGTAAATGTACACATGATCCATCTAGGTACCTGCCCTCCCACTGACAGCGCTAGCCTTCATTTGATGGCCCCGTAGGAAAACTCTATGGAAGATTCGTGTTTGTTCTAGGCAAACCTGTATGCGAGATGTTCACCACCAACGACGGTAAAGCAATAGTTGTCGATTGTGGATCGCAAGATACGTGGTCGTACATCTTCAAGGTGATATTGTCAGAGGGGTGGATTTTCTGAAACTTGATAGCTGAGTTCACAGAAAACTGGTCCTTTTGAAGCTTGAGGTCTCCAGCCTTGGAGGAACTACAAAATATTTTATCATTACGACTGGAAACTCAATGCATTTATGTATGCAATCCGATTGAACAGCAGAGGCGACTACCTTGAATTAATTAGCGATTACGAAGTTGTTCCAAAAACCTTATAAGAATATATTGCAATTTATCACCTTCACTACAAAAATCTCTTCTACCAGATAAGGTAGTAGCAGATCGCAATGAAATCACAGGTGCGGTGGAGAACAAATTTTGCTTAGGGTTATCCAATGATTTATTGGGTTCTATTAGTTTACTGACTAAGAAGTTTAAAGTACATCGGGCTTTCAACAAGCCTTCTAAAGCTAATATTGGGCGTGCCATCAACATGTACCAGCTTATAATGTCCTAATATCCCCATGAAGTTGATGCATCCATCTCTGGTGGGCATGGGTTTCTCAACGCCGGGAGCACCAGAGAGACACAAACAGATAAACAGGGTGAACTTGGGTATTTTTCCACCTTGTCACAACGATTTCTAAGAAATAGGTGTTCAGAAGAACTTACCAGACATTGATACTGCCCTGACAGCTCATCCTTCACTATTAGATAGTGATCACCATCTAGTTCGTAATGAGCAGCACACGAATAGAGATCGGCGTCTGAAAAATTCTGCTAGCAAATGTCCTGAACAACTTTGCACTTCAAATTGGAGAGACATCAATGTCCCCTAGTGACAAATCCATGGCCCCAGCCAACATTCATCAGAGAGTAGGGAAGAACTGAGTAAAATCAAGAAAAGTCGAGAAAAGCTAGAATGAGAGGAAGATGTCCGAAAAGGAATTCCCTTTCAAATAGTACGTCTAAGGCAGTTCCTTGGCATTTTTATGAATTTCTTTCCTTTCACCATAGAGATATTTAGGACGACACGAACCTTTCCAAACGGGGTTACATTCGGTGGCAATTTGGATTTCGTCTGGTTTATTGCATCCAAGAAACAGGAGAGGATGCTGGCACGCCGCCGATGTGTACCGACCTCGTAATGGACATTCTTCCTAAAGAAAAGCTAATATTTTCCTGAAATCGAGAAATGGGAAAGATGACACTCGGAGAACTTAGTCTTGGTGCTTGGAAAGATTTTACATGAGCAATAGTGGTTTGAAAAAACAATCCAATATGGCTTTTTCGGCTGGAGTAGGGCTTGTGCTTGTGAGCTTTGCGAACTACAGCCTATGAGATGAAGTGTAAACTACTTTTCCTTGACTACTTCCCATTTTCTCGACCTCTTCTTCTTCATTCCTACACTTTTTTAGTTCCACGTCGTCATTTTTAGATTAGCAGGTGTAGGTGAAGGACACATCACAACTTTGTGGTGTTGTTTTGATGCGAGGGGAGCAAGGCTGGGGACAAAACGATCCATCAATGCTCGCTTCAACAATACCTGCGCTCCTTGCACTACAAGCGTGTCCCTTGTATCCACCACCATTTCAGAACAATCCTCGTACTCGTTCAGACTGATTTGACCGAAATTCACTTGCACCAGGTATTGACTCATTCGATAGAACTGAACGAGAGCCGATAGAATGATTAGAACAGTTAGCACATTGTTATTGGGATCCATTGGGATCCAGAGTATTAGCCCAAAGATTCCTTACACACCTGTACACACTGATAGCCAGTCTGACATCCTCGTCGAACATGTGCTCTGATGGCTGTGAAGTGTTCATGGCGACGACTTTCCAAGCACGTCCATACGGTATCATTTCGCAGCTTGTAGGAAGAGACCCAAGAACCTAAATTTTTTATTACGCTGGGAACGATACATCAGGTGAAAGCGAGGGTTAATCGCAGTTAGACCCAGGGGCCGGGTGTCGAACCCAGACTAGATATTGTACCGCTCAATTGAAATTCCCTGAGCCCCCTTCATCAGTTCTGGAATTCCTCGGATGATGAAGACACTGATTTGCGAGTAAGCTTCCCTCCCAGGCCAAGCATAGACCGGAAAGGCCATTCGCTCTTTTACAAAAAAAACATGCCAAAAGCAGGACCTAACTCAAAATGCCGACGAACTCACCATCCTGAATAACGTTTCGTCGTCCTGTAACGATTGATTCCCATGTCTGTCGGTGTCGTGCTCTTCCCATGGCATGCATGTAGTCCGGAAAATCGCATAGGGGATGGACTTTATGATCTGAAAAAGGAATTGCCCATGCTTTTTTTGATGGCAGATTGCTAGAGACATCAACGTGACGGGCGCAGCAATCGACGAGTGTCGGGTAAAAGATCGAAAAGTTTTTCCAAAGTACTCCCTCCCTTTCGTGAGTTCCATAATTACTTTCCCTTGCAGTCAAATTCTAATGCAACGCTGCCGCCACGAACCAGATAGACTAAACCTCACAAGTCTCGCTCTGGTGGAACCAGATTGCCGTCGCTGATGAGCCAAATTATTTTACCTTGTTTATAATTAAGTGTGGTGGTAGCTGCACCTATATGTGTGAGCTCCTGGCAACTTGCATCAGCCGAGATTCCAATTCGTCCTGACGTTCCAGATTGATCAACTATCTGCAAGGAATTCGTGTGATTCCGTTTCAGATAGAGAGAATGTAGGCAACAGGGGAGTCAGGAGTAACATCGAGGAATGTGAGCTGGGAAAAATTTATTTTCTCAGAAGATATTGTTCACGGTCCCAGGAACTCACAAGTCTCCCTATTTCCCTCTCTTTGAGCACCTAGAATTAATCTTTTGTCTAACCAGCCCTTATACAGGAGCTGGTAAGACAACTGTAAATTGTTAAGACTACTTAACCTCGAGAACAATTAGGAAAATAGAGGGAAACTCACAAAACATCGGTACGACTCTCCTCGACGATTACCAACCCGAGCGGCGAAGAACGTATGACCAAGCGATTGCCATGATGCTATGCATTCCACTTCAGACACTGTAAGTTATCTTACTCATTCTAGTCTACCCATATACATACGTATTATGTAAGTCTGATCGTTGTTCTGGATGTATGGATCAATCTATCTCTACGTAATTTTGAAATTTGGAAAAATCATAGAGAGATGGAATGCATCTCTTGCCTACTGCTGCATTATGACAGACCAATTCCGAGAGGAACCCTTCTTACAGAGAGTGGAATATTTCTAAATTTTGGTCGATTTTTTTTCAACGAGAGATGTACGGCGCATTTTCTGCAGGAAAAACCCGTAGGCCTCAAAAGAGGGCAGCATAATTCCCATTTTACTTGCATGGATCTCAAATTAACCGAATGGATTTCATGGCCATTCCCTCGGCAAGTTATCTGAAGCGGCTTTATCGAGTGCCATGGACGGAGTTGAGGGTGCAAATTGAGTGGATGAGCATGAGGCTGACCTAATTCGGTTCGAGTAGAAGGAACGGCCGCTATCTAACTCATCGTTGCTGCTCTGGCCACTCAAATAACGGACTACGACCTATGAGCAATCATATTCTCGCCAGACGGAACACTCAATTGAGATGCATTGGCCCATCCCGAGTGAACACCTCAAGGATTAGGCATATGTACCAGCTTAGCGAAGGAATTTACTTGATGATTAAGAGATTGCAGTGTACATGAAGTCACTCTGTCGAAATTAAAGACGAAAAGAATGTCAGGATTGTAGTGTGCGCCATGAATCAGGTATTCACCCAATACTATGGAAGCATTCGAAAAGGCATGTAGTCGGAGCAGTTGGTCAATGGGTACCCTACGGAGTATTTTCAGCGAAGAATACCCATTGAAGCAAGGGATGAAATTAATTACGTGCTCAGTAAACAGATTAATTGATTTTGTAATTAGAATAAATAGGATAACCTCAAGAAAGGGTAAACCTCGACGAGGTCTTGGAATGTCTCGGAGTGAGGAAGTGGCGCTATTTGTGCTTGCACCGGCTTCAACTTCAGGTCAGTTACTTGGGCAAGTTTTTTGGGGGTCAGATAGCATGCTTAAGGGAGAAGTATACGAGAAATATAAAGTTCCCATCTCTGCTTGAGAATACGATTGTCCACGAAACCCCCTCAAAGCGTTCTTCCATGGGGAACTGAAAGCGATTATCGCTCAGACATAGACCAAGGGCTATCTGACAAATGATCTCAAATTCATCATAAATTATCCGGGGCATATGTATAAGAATGCCGTTCAGCCGCGTCTGTCATGTCGTCCAAAGCCCCTTGAGCCCTCGCTGTGTCCGTCACTCAATCAGATCTTGACCTGGTGATAAGGGTGGCCAGAATTGGGATGGAGGAATGAAGGGCTAAGCAAAAGCTACTCTGCGATACTAATATCAAGGCTAGATCACAAGTTACGCTTTTTTTTCCAAGGAAAGCTCCGAAAAAGGCACCGTAATCAAGCCTGCACTGCTCATTCCCACAGAACTTGGTTACAAAAAACGTCTGGTGCGGAAGAGTGTCATCACAATGGTGTGGATCCCCGAATTCCATCAGCTCCGTAGTTTTATCGACCCGTATTCTCCCTTGGCATGGACGTATTCAATTGGTTTGTGCTTATAAATCAGTCCAGCTCCGTCTAGTCGACTGCTAATTGGCCTTCTCTGCACTAACAATGATAAATGCTCTTTTCTATGGAAGACATGCATGCACACCTCGACGAACAAACTGAATTCGAAGCGTGTAATCGCCTCATGCACTATGAGCAATTAATGCCTACTGGATTCCTCTATATTACGTCGTATAGTACAGCTAGAAGGTTTGGGAAGGAAATGAAAAATGGATAATTAGAAAGGCCGAAGAGTTGAAGATTTAGTAGATGAGCTCCTCTGTTCACAAGAAATTTCCTCGAAAAAGTTTGCTGCGCTCAGATTCCGCCAGACGATAGACGTAAAGTAAAATTACAACAGCTACCATCAGGTTCTACTGCTATTCGATCACCATTTATGCAAATTGGATGACTATTGAGCGAGGACAGGGTCTCTCCATGAAATGCTAATGAAGATTCATCTGTCACTTCTTTGTGATCTCAGCTTTCTGTAGTGGTGTCATCATGTCGACAAGTTGAAGTGGGACGAGTTCGTCCAGAAACCGAACTCGTTCTACCAAAACTCGTGCTATTCAACCAGTCGGCATAGGAGGATATAGTAATTCTCAGGTTAGAGTAGAAGATGGGAAAGTACTCGTCGCCGGGGAATCATTTTCCAAAATTCACATCTCGTTCTGAAAAAAGCTTCTCTTATGGCTATGAAATGTTCGGAATACCCTACTGGCACTCAGAATTACTTGAAAGAATTGGCTAAGGTAAGAACCATCTACTCCTACCCTGATGCGCTACTGACCCATTAGGGTAAGCCCGTTTTCGCTCCTTCAGAGTGGGACTGAAGAGCTCTGATGGCAATCGTAGGGCTCTAGAGGGAATAAGCCTAAGACCTATACTCCACTGGGTAGGACAAATAATCCTCGACAATGGTGGTTATCAGGCTCGACTCCGGATAAATAATCTCTACTTCTACCTACTAAATCTCGCTTCACGGAACCTTCTTTTTCGAGGAGCCGTAAAGTTCCCTCGAGATGCCGTTAGCCAAGTTCCTTTTTTCCCTCTATCCAGTCCATTCTCCTCCCAGCCAACAGACTACATTCAAAGTGCATCATCGTTAAGAGAATTATAATATATGTAATGTCTGGTGGTCCGATAGAAGCTGTCCTTCAATGACAACCTGTGCACTCCTTCAGATAATCACAATTGAAAAGTACAACCTCTAAAACTATATTATCTCTTCACTCAGGAAATGAGTAAATACTACCTGAAGCCTCTTTGGTAGGATTTTCCGGGCAGGCTTGGTAACGAAACGAGAGCCTTGTCCATTCAGCGCATCTAACAGTATCAAATCAATTGATTTTCAGTGAACAAAGGTCTCCAGTATAAATTACCTGGTAATAGACGATATCCGACTACTACATGTGCCAGCACTGGTATGATAGGTAAAGTTCAGTGGAGCTTCGATGGGGCATTGGATGGCTGTGGCTTCTTCTGGAACAGTGCCAGTAAAATCCTATTAATGTAATTGAAAAGATGAAATTCCAAAAATATCAGAAATAGGGATAAAGTAAAAATAGAGTGGTTGTACTGTAGTGCCCTCAGCTTTGCCACACCCAATAAGTATTTGATACTACTAACAAGGATAGTTATATTTTTGGCTTCGCCACTTGGATCCAATCAAGGGGAATAAAAAAAAA